CAACGATATAAGCACTAAATTAGATTTTAGCAGTGATACCGCAGATGCGTCAATACAAAAGATTTACGAGGAGACTTATGGGTGAGGTGCGCTCTACTTAAAGAACTTTACGCATCGATCTGTCAGCGCTTCAACGGCTAGTTCGGTTGTAAATAGTCTACTTTATTGAAATAAGGTAACGTGCGAACCAATCTTGTGAGCTCACATGCTCTACTTGAGTTCATATAACCTATTATACTGAATAGCTTTCCAATGCTCCAAAGGATTCCTTTTTTATACTGCCACCCTATTGGAAGTTCTTGAGCTCCTAAGGGCCATAGAAATATCTCCGTAAATATAAAGTCAGGCAATTATACAGGTTGACAAACATGTCGTGTTCTACGATGTTATTTTTCAGAACAGTAGAGACTGCGTGAGCAAAGAGGCAATGATATATAGGTTTATCACACGGTATGTAAATTGCCTGATCAACTTGGCTTTAATTATATTAATATAACAGTTCTGCTTTTACCTTACCTACGCTTCCTGGCTTGCCACGTGTACGTCTGTCGGGGCACCGAAACCCTTGCGTTAAGTTCACGCAAGGGTGTGCCCCGTTACAAGAGACGCTTCCGGAAAGTACGAGATAAACTCGTCTCTCTCAGCACCTACATGTGTATCTTGAAAAACTTCGGCAGACCCAAGAGGTAGATCTTCTCCCCAAGCCAAGCCATGACAGTACGATCCGCAGTGAGCGTCGTCTCTCGCTGAGAGACGTTGATGCGGTAACGGTACTAGTTCCGGGCGCGTTTATACAAGAGTCGGTGCTCGCTATCGTGGGCCTCCACGCAGTGTGGAGCCCACGATGCTGCATCCGTAGACAACGTGGCGAAGCTGAAAAAGCGCATCGCGCGGCAAGCACCGGCCGTATCTGGCCCAGCTCCCGCCAGTGCTTGCCGCGCGATGCGCTTCTTCAGCTTCGCCACGTTGGCTGGCGCCGATTTTGCCGCCGTCGCGCTTGACTTGCCTCGCTCGTTTTGCGCGCCCTCGTCACCGTTCCGTGACGCAGGCGCCAGTGCCGGCGGCGAGTCAGTCGCCGCCTTCGTCGGGCCTTCGTCTTAGCATGCTTGTGCTATTTCCGAGCACGCAAATGTGCGTGATGACCGTTTCTGTATGCTAGTGTTACCCTTCCAGAAATGCCCGCCAACCAGATCGACGCTTGAGCAGTTGGCTGCTTTTATAGGAGTATGTTACGAACGTTAGCCTTCCTCTGCACGTACAGTGGACGTGAGGTGATGAGACACCTGCTTACACTGTGGTCCGTGCAAGTAGCTTATACTGTGTCAGTGCAAGTAGCTTATACTGTGTCAGTGCAAGCAAAGATTGGCTCGTTTTATTCTAGGGAGGCCAAAAGGCACGGGGGTTTCGGCAAACATATTTGTCAATGGATAGCAAGGTGATGAACTGTTTTGGTGCCCTGGGTAGGTAAGAAAGGTTACAATTTAGCGAATGACGGTTTAATTCCTCATGAGACGAAAGCAAGGTATCAAAGCGACGTCTGGTACATACCACTCTTTAGTAATACCCAGTAAAGCCTGTTACTGAGCATTTGGCCTCTCGGCAGGAACACCTTGTTGAAGCACAACGCCCCCGAAAGGCATGACCCTCCGCTGTCGCGTGCATCAATGTGTAAGAGGAACACAAGCAGGTGTCAAGGTTTCGAATTGTGTTTCTTACATGAGCAGCGTCTGTCTTCCTACTACGTAATCTTAGCTTGGCATACGAGTGAGCGCGCCGTGATCGCACCTCAAGCACTTATGGCCATATCCTCTTCGATACGCTTTTGCGTCGTTTCCAAACCTACGTTTACAGCGCTGGATTCTACCAAAAGGTTGCGCTTCTGCTCCGAAGCCAACCTCTCGTAGGTAAGGCTTTACAGTCCCTCATGACCTCCAACTGACGTCTACCTAGGCTTGCGTGTGGAAGCTGCTGATTCATCGGCGCCTATCACTTGCATTTTTGTACGAAAAAAAGCTGTGTCACAGCGAACGACACGCTGTGGATTCGGTTGTCGTCGCATAAGCAACGAATAGTGGTTGCTACGACGGCCACCGAATGAGTACTGTGGTGTGGGTTCACAATACACGAGCCGTACAATTTTCGCATTGACATGTCGTGCCGATACATTGCGAAGCGTTTTGTCGATCCTGGTGCAGGCAAATGATCGATTGATCAAACGTGTGTCCAGCTCCACTTGCGATTGAGACTGTCGGATGCCGACTGTAATTCATATTGATTTGGTATGTCCGGGCGTAACAAGAGAGATAACAAAGAGAGATCTTGTGTGTGTCACCGTCACGCCAAGCTTTATAGCATCCGAAACGCTCACAAAAGTGACAAGGGCGGGAGGTATCGCCCAGTCTACGAAGGAGTGCTGGTCAAATGTTCGTCTAACTAGATACCGCTACGAAAGGGAAATGAATTTGCTACAATGGTCAGCTGTAGCTACGATGAAGTGGGCGACTGTCCGCAGAGGACAACTTGTACTTACTACACATAAAGGTACTCATCAACGACTGTAGGATGCCGATGTTCGATGTAGTAGCGGGGATGAAAACCGCATTACCGTTTGCAATGATGTTTTTCTACAACATGATCATGTACAGCGGACACCAACATGTAATTGTGCCGTAATGACGGCTGCATCTCTGCTTAATGTGTGGCGGTCAGCAAAGAAGATGATCTGGCTAACAATATCGTGTCCGCACACATCGTTTGTAGATTCATCGAGGTGTGCGTAAGCAAACGTCGTCTGTCAGGCCGTCGGGTGCTGGCAAGGCTACTTGGATAAGTCATTTGGATGTCGGATTAGACTTCAAAGTCGACAATCTGTCGCTTCGTGGAGTTGGTCGTGTATGCTTACGAATGTGCAGTGTATCATTGTTGTTGTCAGGTCACCCCGAACGAGATGACTTTTAGATTCAACGACCAGGTGGCGTGCAACTAGATCTTTTTTAGCGTTTGCGAGCCACGTGATAGTCGCGAAGAGCGTTGCCGCGGTTCCATTCACTTTACAAGAGCCAACCGACGCTCGTCAATTGCAACCGCTGTAGGAATCGGATCAGTTCTTCACTATCGGAGCCTACATGCACAACATGGTCCCAATAAGCTTGTGGGTCGACGTCCAAGCACAGCAGATGCAGTGTCGTGTCTTCGGAAAGCAGATTATTGTTTTGGACTGGACGTGGCTGGCGTCCATCGATGTTCAGCAATACAACAACATCTTGTGTGCGAAAGTGCGCTCGCTTTGACAAAGACCTTCGTCGAATCTCACTCGTATGGCTCATGCGGTCACGTATCCTTCACATGCAGGTCTTGAACTGTAACGGTGCTTTGTAGTCACACGAAGGAATCTTGATAAATGTGGAGAACCGACAACAAAGAAAGAGGGCATCAATCAAGCGCCGAGAAGACGTAACGTTACCTGCGCAACCAATGCATCACCCCTTTACTTTCACATACACACCACCGCTAGCTATTACCATGCAGTCAAAAGCACGTGCGCCCGTCGGCTATTGTACGTCACACCAGAACAATTCTTGTTGCAAACATTCACATCGCACCATTACAATTTAACGCACTGGTGAATCGACTACAGGAAGAGACCCTTGCTCGCAGCTCAAGCCTCGTGGCAACTACCATACGCGTTCAACGGTCAGCGGCGATCAAGAAGCGCGCAGCGTCTGTCGTGTTCCGATCCAGCAAAGTTCGATCCTTTGCTGTCCGCTGATGCCTCACATTGTCTGACACACTGACACTGACAAACTTACACAGCATGTGCGTCAATGTCGTCCAGCTCGTCCAGCTCGTCAATGTAGTCTACCTCGTATACTTCGGCGGGCAATGCAATAAGGCCGGAATAGCTCCTCTTGTCCGTTGCCACGGGCGTACACATCGCATTCGAGTACCCCGTCTCGCTCTCGTCTTCGGTGTCAGCAGCCTCAGTCCTGCGCTTGCTGATAATCGTCGCAGCGGCCACTGCACCAATCGCTCCAACGCAACAGGCAATGACCACAATGGGTATCGTGCTGTTGCTGTTGCCAGCGTTCTTTTCCGCCTCGTACGCTGACCGCGTGGTAATGTACGCTACTCCGACGGCAGTCCCAGTCGAGTGCCTCGCACCTGTGCGATCGGTGTATGTCGCCCCTTCTGTCGGTGCTGGCGTCGGACGATTCACGTCAGTCAGTGCCAGTGCCGGCATTGGAGCGTACGTCGTGGGTGCAGGCGTGACCGCGTCAACCTCTGCTTTCTCATTCTGTGCAGAGACTGGAAGCTGAAGTGTACTTTGCATTCGATCACCTTGAACCAGACTGGCAACGGCCAAGAGTGTCGAGGCAAGGAGACCGACCTTCATTGATGAGCGGGTGAGTGGGCGACAGGGAATAGCGCGCGTCGAGGTGGAATGCAAATGAAAAGAGAATGCGCTGCTGCAGAGGCCGAGCGACAAGCGGGAGAGTATTGACGTTGCACTGCTTTAGGCTGTAAAGGGCTCGTAGTGACTTACCACCCGCTCGCTGGACGCCCGCTGCATCGGTTGACCAGCGGCGAGACGCACTTTTCTACAACGTGCACCGGTCGTACCACGCTGAACGACACGACCACGTGGTGCATACACACATACATCTCATGGATCACACGAGACCTATTCAGCATCCAGTCAACATGTTTAGGACAGACATGCGTGCAGTGCTTATCAACCTCTCTGTCGAAAAAGTCATGCTGCATCCCAGGTGTTGTTGACCAGCTACAACCCCTATCTCTATTTCAGACAGACACAAACACAAACGCAACACACACGCGCGCGCCATTACAGCAACACGCATCATGGACCGTACCGATACCCTAAACTAGGCCACGCACGATCCAGCTACTTCACGACGAAGCTCGTTCGAATACCGGTATTCGATCCTGATCCGCGAGCACGACCACCACCCAATCGAGTGCTCGAGCAATTGCGTGTCATGGTCGAAGTGACGGTACTGGACTACGGCGCGGGCAACGTACGCAGTCTCAAGAACGCCATCCGCGCCGCGGGTCACTCGGTGAAAGACGTGGCATGCGCCGCCGACATTCGGACCGCGCAGGTGCTCATTTTCCCGGGCGTGGGGAACTTTCGCGCCGCGATGGAGTTTCTGCAGACAAGTGGCTACATTACCGACCTGCGGGCGTACGTGGCTGCCAATCGTCGGTTTCTGGGCATCTGTCTGGGCATGCAGACGCTGTTTGAAGGCTCGGAAGAGTGTCCCGAGCTTCGGGGACTGGGGGTGCTCAAGGGCACTGTCGCCCGCTTTGCGTCCGACCACGTGGCGGTGCCTCACATTGGCTGGAACGGTATCACTGCGTGGAAAAAGTCGGCGCTCTTCTCGGCCCTTCCAGTGGCTACAGCTGCGGCGAAAGTGTACTTTGTGCACTCGTTTCGAGCGATCAAGACGGACAAGAACGCTGACTGGGTGCTCACGACGACGAACTACGGCGACGTGGAGTTCATCAGTGCCGTGCAAAAGGGCAACGTCATGGCGACGCAGTTTCATCCAGAGAAGAGCGGGGCTGTGGGCATTGCAATGCTCAAGGGGTTCTTGGACACGCGCGAGATGCCGGACCACGATGCTGTGGTGTCTACGGCGCGCTTGGCGCCACGGACGACGCTGTCAAAACGGATCATTGCGTACGTTTGTGTTATTTTTTTCTTGTGGAAGGACTACAGGAGTGAGACGAAGTGATTGTGCGGACTGTTTCTGTTGCTGATGCGATGCGAGTTTGTTTGCTCGGTTTGTTCTGTGCACTTTTGTTCTGTCTCTGTGTCGCAGGTGTTTGGACGTCCGGGCGAATGATCAGGGGGATCTGGTTGTGACGAAAGGCGACCAGTACGACGTGCGCGAGAGCTCGAGCATCGCGAGAGAAGGCAATGTCCGCAATATGGGCAAACCAGTTGATCTGTGCAAGCGCTACTTTGACGAGGGAGCTGACGAGGTGGCGTTCCTCAACATCACGAGCTTCCGTGAGCAGCCAATGGGCGATTTGCCGATGGCTCGGATACTGGAGGCGAGTTCGGAGTGCGTGTTCGTGCCGCTGACGATTGGCGGCGGCATTCGTGAGTACATGGATGACCAACAGAAGATCCACTCGGCGCTCGATGTGGCGGCATTGTATTTCCGCTCGGGGGGCGGACAAGGTTTCGATTGGAAGTGACGCTGTGTACGCAGCCGAGAGGTACTATGCCAACGGCGGTAAAGGTGACGGATTGAGCTCAATCGAGACGATCTCTGCCGTGTACGGCAACCAGGCCGTGGTGGTGTCGATGGACCCCAAGCGCGTGTACGTTGCGTCGTTCTATGACGAGAACGCGAGAGGCCACAATGTCGTCAAGCTGTCACGACCGGGTCCTAATGGGGAAGAGTACTGCTGGTACCAAATGACGGTGCGCGGTGGCCGGGAGACTCGTAACATTGACGCAGTGCAGCTGGCTCGAGCGGTTGAGGCTCTCGGCGCCGGTGAGTTGCTGCTAAACTGCGTGGACATGGACGGTCAAAAGGCTGGGTACGATCTCGACCTGATTGCGCTCGTGAAGAAGTCGGTGCGCATCCCAGTCATTGCGTCCAGTGGTGCGGGCCAGCCGTCGCACTTTACCGAGGTCTTTGAGAAGACGAACTGCGATGCGGCGCTTGCAGCGGGTATCTACCACCGCAAGGAGGTGTCGATCCACGACGTCAAGAGACAATTGCAGGCCGACAAGATCGACGTGCGTCTGTGAGTGCACGTGTTTGCCATACTGCAGCAAAAGGAGTGGAGACCGCAACAGGAGCAGGCGAGTTAAGTGGCTGGACAGACACCTGGTGCAGATCGTCTTTGCCACACGAGTGGGTCATGAGAGCTTGGGGTCATCGTCAGCTTTGGACTGTCGCAGGATCGACTACGATTCGTACAGGTTTTCTTGCAGCGAATACGGATATGCACTCGAGCACAGCTGCAGTACGCTGCTCGTCATTGCCGTCTTGACGTTGTACCCATGTCGATGCAGGAGGGACGTAGAAGGACTTGACGTTGCTCGAGCTGCGCTGTTGTGAGCTTGCGATCAGTAGACTCATTTGCCATTGTCAGCAGTGTGTACGATGTGTCTGCGTGATGACTGATGGCCAACTGCGATGTGGTCGTATGAACTAACAAACTGCGATGGGCTTGAGAAGAGCCTCTTCGATTGTGGTGTGTCAGCAATTAGCACGACCTCTTTTGTCAACGCTGTGTCTCACGTGCGTGCACGTATTGTCACGATCGGATGCCGGGGTCCGTATACGATCGATGGTCGTGGTCGATATTGTATCTGTGTCATTCTCTTGTATACACTTGACGGGGTGCTTGATTTCCGAGAACGACCCACCCACACGGCCGCTGTTGTACTGTATGTATACGCCAAAAAATAGGTCCGTTCAGCCAACGCTCGTGCAAAATGTCAGCGCGTGGGCTCTTTTCGTTGCTCGGCCCACCCAAAATAACGGTTAGAAACGCGGTCGATTGTTGCAGCATCGGCCCACCGCTTTCTACTTTTCGGGTTCCGCGCTACCTTCCCGTCACATTCCACCGCTGGTCGACTCTACTCCGACGAGAGGGGGGAACAACCGAACCGGACCCCGCGCTGCTTCGCTCCGTCGCGGCCCTTTTCCCCTCACATCGTCCACGTGCGCCTTCACCAGCTGCCGTGACCTCTTTCCGCTCCACGTCCTCGTCAAGCGCTGCTCTGCACTTGTTGCCACGCCGCGCAATGGACTATGCAATGGTATGACAAGTCAATTAATTGCAATTCGCCGCTACGAAAAACAATCAATTAATTGCCAAACGGTGCAATACGAAATGCATTGACTGACGAATTCATGTATTGTCGTTTCTACCGCACGACGGAACGCATCACTGACTGACTGATTGTATTTCTATCACTTTTTTCTATCGTTGTTGACGTTGGTGTTGATATTGTTTCTATTCGCTACCCAGCGAGACGACGAGGTCTGTGCGGCTCCCACGGACTCGGAGCTCGCAAACGGTCCGACGTTTGAGGACTTGGCCATTGACGACAGCCTGAGTGACCTCCAGCGCGTGACCAAGTACGTGTGCAGCAACATTGCGCTCCAGCGCGTGATCCACGTGAAAATGCTGCACGAAACGGCGCGGTCCGTGGGGTTCCACGCCACGTGTGACCGGCTGCTGCCGCTGCTGCCGCCGCTCGTGTGCGACGTCGAGTACGTTGTGCGGCAGCACGTGGCGCTGCAGTTCCCGTTGTTGTGCCAGTTCCTCGTTGAGGCAGAGCCGCACGTGGGCTACCGCGTGATGCTGGACAAACTCTTGCCTCTGGTGACGAAGCTCGTGTCGGACGATCAGCACGAAGTGCGCTCGGCAGCGAGCGAGAGTCTCGTGGACATGGCTGCACTCGTCAAGCTCGAAGACCAGGGACAGCACATGCTCACGATCGTGTTGCCGCTCGCACACGATGACGACAATGAACAGTTTCGTATTTTGGCCGTCGCGCTGTACAATGGACTGGCGGAACATTTTGGCCCCGAGTTGTGTCAGCAGTTTTGTGTCCCAGAGCTCATATCGCTGTCAGAAGACCCGGTGTTTCGAGTTCGTAAATCGACAGTGCTGAGTTTTCCGAATGTGTGCAAGACAGCAGGCATGGAGCTGAGTCGAGAGCGATTGATTCCTGCGTTTGAGCGGCTAGCGAAGGATGATATCTGGGGCGTGCGAAAAGCTTGCGCCGAGTGTCTAGCCAATGTTGCGCTCGCACTGGCACCGATTGACCGCGGTCCGATCTTGGTCCCGATGTTTGAGCGTTTTATCACTGACTCGTCACGCTGGGTGCGCATGGCAGCGTATCAGAGTTTGGGTCCGTTTCTAGCGGCATTAGTAAAAGAGCAGGTCAGTGACGAACTGGTGGGTCACTTTGCAAGTATGGCAACGACAGCAGCATCACAGCTTGGTGGCAGCGGCGAGGTAGATATCAAATTTCATTGTGCGTTTAATTTCCCGGCGGTAGCAAGCATTCTGGGCGCTGCAGACTGGTCAAAACTCTCTGCTGCTTTTGAGCTGCTGTACAATGACACGTTCTGGAAGATCCGGCGGTCATTCGCGTACTCTTTGCACGAGCTGGCGCGAATTCTAGGTCAAGCCATCACCGAAACACAGCTAGCTACGGCATTCGACGGGTATCTTCATGACGTGCAGGACGTCCGGCTTGGTGCGATGCTGCACTTTGCCGACTTCTTGGAGAACGTGTCACCCTCGTTTCGTGAAAGCTATCTTCCGGTGCTAGCGGAGTTTGACTCATTCGACAACACAACCAAGTGGCGTTTTCGCGAAGTTCTGAGTGGCCAACTAGCGCAGCTTTGCCACACGTTCACACCGGAGGCAACCTTCTCGGTGATCAACCCGCTAGTATTTAAGCTCATCACGGATCCGGTTGCGGTCGTGCGTGAACAAAGCTATCATGTACGTGAAAGAGGAATGCTTGCGTGAAGCTGTGAAAATTGTACTCGGTGTCGCTGACATGTTCCTGCTGTTGTGCACGCGATTGACAGGCTTGTCCGTTGCTAGTAGCTCGGCTAAATTCGAATGCAACGTGGTTGACTGCTATCGTTGACAAGTTCGTGACCCTTGCACACTCGCCTCACTATCAGGACAGGCAGTGCTTTGTCAAAATTTGCTCCTCTTTTTTGCTGACAAAGGAGCCTCAGGAGGTTAGTGAGAAGGACGCAGCGTTGGCCCGCGCCGCTCGCGACTTTTTTTCGTCTCAGCTTGCAGCAGTGTTTTTCACGCTGGCAGTGGATACAGTCTCCAACGTTCGTCTGGTGTTCGCCGAGACAGCAGTCGAACATCGGCAGCTGTGTCGAGAACACCCTGCATGCCCAGACGCGTTGCGAGAAATTCTTTCGACTACGGCATCCATTGACGCTGACGCTTTTGCTGCGATTTTGTCTCGACGAGTGAAAGAATGTTCCAATGGACTGGCAAAAAAACAGGGTGCGAAGGGTACCGACAAAGAGACGGAACAAGTCTCGGCAACGAGCTCGGACGCTGGTGAAGAAAGCAGAGGTTGTCCTGCGGCTACATCAAAACCGCTGGAGACAACAGACGTGGTACCTGAAGAGAAAAAGGCAAATGGTGAGGCTTTCGACGCTCTTGTATCAGCGGACGGTGCAGCAACCGAAACGTTAGCTCCTCTTTCGGACTCATCGCGGATAGCGTTGCCAGTCGAAACGGGAAACGGACCTGTCCATCGTGCGTCGTTGGCATTGGTCGAAGGAGGGTCCAAGTCGGAGACGGATTCTGGCGAGGCAGTGCCGATCGGCGAGTCATGTAGTTCGTTGTCGACGGTCGCAACAGCAAACCCGTCGTCTATCGAAGCAAATTCGGAGGCGTCGAGGTCGGCACATACAGACGCAGCAAGAACGTCAACGGCAACAGCGGAAGACCCGCTACGTAAACTGCATTTGGAGGACTGCTGAATAGATAGAAGACTCTAATGGCTTACTAAAGCTATGGGTGGATCGACCGACAGGCAAGACGCCACGTGCGGCTACCGTCGCGACTCGACCATGGAAGACAGTCTCCACCGAACCTGTCCTGTCGAGCGAGGAGACGACACCTCGGGGCCAAGCAACGAACGAAAGCAGCACACGCTTCTCTATCGACGAAGAGCAGCATCGTCACTGGGTCGCCGTGTCTCCATCCCTCTCTTGCTCGTCTGTATATATGTGTACGTACTGCTCGAGTCCCGTTCTGCAAATAAACAGTGAGTGCAATGCAGACACCAGTCGAGCTCACTGGCTACGGTTTGTCTGCATCCTGTGTCCCTGCAATCACCATCTCTCGTGTCGTGTGTGCAGCCACCGAGGCCGTAGCGGCGCCTCTCATGGCCTCACAGAAAGCCGGCTGGAAGGTGCCTTGGAAAATGTCGTTGCAAATCTCTTCAACAACTCGAATGCCTTTGGCCGCCGTGTCAGCACCTCGACTGGCCGAGAAGCTCTCGAGTTTGCGACCCACTAGCGGCACGAAAGCAGTGACTTTGGCCTCGGCTTCGTACAACGTCTTGTGCTCATCGTCTGGATGCACCGAGTACACACACGTCTCCTCGACCGTTGCCACCGATCGCAGCGACAGGTTCGTCGATCGAAGCACGAGCCGCTTGCGCTGCGGGTCGCATATCGTTTCTTCAAACACGTACGTCGAGTCACTGAGAGCCGAGCGGACCCATTGGGGGACGTTCGTTTGCGTCACTTTGGCCAGTCGCGTCGTCACCAGTCGTCCCTGCGCGTCCAGCTGCCGGTCCAGCACATCCACACGCTCGACGTGGGCGAGCCGCTTATTCGGGTACTTGTTCCAGAACGCGCGCGTGACGACGTCCCAGTGGAAGGGGTAGACGTAGCGGGTCTCGTGCGTCAATACCATGAGCCCGTGACGACTGTAACTTCGAATGTCGGAAAGTGCCACTTGACCCCCGACGAGCTCTTTTTGCGTGGTCAGAGAAAAGACAGGCAAAACACGAGTTTACACAGACCATACAACAAACGAGTCCAAGGCCCTCGCTCGCGACACGTGTCTTTCTCTGTACCACGCACCGAACGAGAAAAGGGACGATGTCGCACCTGAGACCGCATGCCATCGACATAGCAAAAGAGGTCACGGGCGACACGACATACCATAGCGACAACAACAACAATAGCGACAATAGCAGTACGCGTACTTTACATTTCAACACGATGGATGGCGCGTCATCTTGGCACGGTCAATGAAGATCTCGACAAGTCGTTGCTGCGTCGCATCGACGTTGGCAGCAAGATACGTCGGCACGAATCGACTGTCTTCCATGACTGCAAAGTGCAGTGCCACGAGGCAGTCCACGGCGCACTTGCGGACACTCGAGTTCGAGTGACCAATGCACTTTGTGAGACGATCGACCACGTCGTCATTGCGCAAGAACGTCACATCCTTCTCACGCGAGCTCTGCTCGCAATGCTGAAAGCACAGTTTGGTAAGACGTAGCACCATTGGCAGCACGGGCGGTTTGCTGCTCGAGACTAGCGGCATCAGCAGTGCTAGTATCTGCTGCTGGTCGCTAGCTGAGCGCACCAGGTCGTCTAGAATGCGCTTGATCAGATGGCAAGCCTGTTGAAGACAGGGACGTGACAGGGTGTGTAAGAATCCCGAGGAAGCAGTGACGATGAACATTAGACGAGCAGACTTACCACGCCGGTTTGATCGACCGTTGCATCGATCAAGCGCTGAAAAAGCAGCTCTGAAAACATTTGCGCCCGCGAAGGCTGCGCGGCGACGAGTTTCTGCAGCACCTCTAGCGCTCTCGTGTTCTTATCGGTAGCAGCGTCGAGAAGCAGTAAAAGCAGTCGACCAAAACAGCGGTCCCAAGTCCCGCATGATGTCGTCTCGATCACATGCCTCGTCTGTGTGGACCATGACGTTTGTCGTTAGCCACACACACTACAAAGAAGGTCTAGTAGCAAGTCGCAAGACTTACTCTGTAGAGCGCACGCATCACCTCAGCCTCCGACATGTTGTTTTCCTCGAACGTATAAAGGATGTCTTCGAGTTGGGTCCCGTGCTTGTCCAGCGCAACTCCACCGCACGGAAACAACACACTGGACGATACTACAGACCTTGGCGATGCTACAGCTGTAACAACGTCTTCGTTACTTTGACCCGCAATGCGATTGTTCATCAGATCTTCAGAAATCGATTGAGATGTCATGTTCATCCGTTTTTGGTCGTTCTGCTGAGCAGAGCCCGAAGAGTCCACGCTTGGTGACTCTGGTCGCTTGCGGCTCCTCTCTGGTTTGCGTGCGATCTTTTCCACGACACGGTTGTTGTTATTATCCCCATTCGGTGGTCGGGTCTTGTGCGGAGCTGTTGAGGAAGCTGAATGATTTTCAGGATAGTTGCAGGTTAGAACAATCTTTTTGGACTTGAGCACTTTGGCGACGACCGAACGCTTTGACGGGGGAAGCAATCCTAACGCCACATCCACTCTCGCGCGTAAAGCTGCGCAACCACTGAGACTAGGTCGCCACAAGCTGATGCAACCGAAACGGGAACGTCGGCATCCATAAGTAAAGCAATCCTGAGCAGGAAGGACCTCATGTGACTATTGTTGATACCGTTCTTCATGTATCCTTCTGCTCTAGGCAGCAACTCGCGCAAGTAGTGGCACATCGCAGCTTTGACCTTCATGTTACTCCCGTCACCCAGCATCGATATCATTCTCGCAGCCAGCGTTGAGCTATCAACCGTCGACGCAATGTGATCCAGATTCTCTTTAGCGACCATGCGAGTTGCATCTTTGGTATCAACAAACTTCTGAAACAGCTTCGGCAAAATCGTCTTCAGATGAGGGAGCCAGTATTTGATTGTCGCCACAGAGCTGTAGCAGTGGTAAGAAGTGTTTCAGCACGCCTTGTGAGACGCGATAGTGAGCATCGCCCAGATGTTTAATGAACGCGATCAAGATCCGCCTCCACTTTGCGGTCTTCACTAGAGCCATTCGCGATCTGGTCGACGTGCTCTCGAAGTAACTTGCCAATGAACTCGACGGATTCCAATCTAGTAGACCAGGACTCGTCTTCCAACCTTACGAAGAGCTTCCTCAAGATGATCCGCAAGAGGCAGCACAACAGCCTGGAGCCGTTCTGACGATTTCGCGGGCACAGCTCGCTTTGGCCTGTTGTCGAGCGAATCATCCCTCGATGGCAAAAAAGTCCTCGAGCTTGACGCATGCGACGCTGTCGGCGACGGCATCGATGCAACGAGCAATCTCTTTGGACCACTCTCTTCGATTTCCGTTAGTGTCGGGGCTTGAGGTTCTACTGCGCACTGGACTCGTTTGCACCTTGGAAGCAGGGATCAAACTGGTTTGCATCCCACGGCCGTCGATAGCCCTTGTCTCGACGCACACAAGCTCTCCTTTATTGGCACTTGTCGTCTGCAGCGACGTTGGCGTGTTTCGCACGCGAAGGGCCCACAGCAGTGCTCTTCTTCGTTTCATTCGCTGAAGCGGAACTGTCCTTGGGAATC